TCTACCACTGATCAAGTTCACTGGCACAGATTTTGCTCCTTTAGAGGCTTTTTCAAATATTTCATCAGTTACATAATACATGATCGATACCTTTTTTCCTAAGAGCAGGTATTACTCACGCTTCTTTCTTTTCTTGCGACTGAGTTTTTCCGTACTATGTGCAATACCGTTATTTGAAGTTTATTTATCTTCTTTATCCTTTTTGTTCTTAAGATTTCGAAGCTGTCAAGTTGGTACTAGTCCTAGCAACCTAAGGGCTTTTGTTCGGTGATTGGATAATTATCTCTTGATGCTTACCCTTCTGCACACATGTCAGTGAAAGCGGGTTAATTTGCCTTGAAAACAATGCATTTTCGCCACCCAATTTGTCATTTTTTTGTTTCCATGTTTGAAAGTTAATATTTTGACAGGAGTACTAACAAATGTCATTTTTGATGGCAACAGATTACTTGGTACCGGTAGCCACCATTCGGAAGGGAAAGTATGAACGTGAATACAAAGAGCAATTCGTGAGCCTGTGGCACTTAGTGGAAACACAAAAGTATGAGTATAAAGTCATGGCTCTATCCTCTATTTACTCATGGAGGCCCTGACATCACGTTTAACAACTTGACCTTTAGCCCAAATCGATGGCCTTCTAAGCCTTCTGAAATCTGGTGGTGCATGTTTTACCTAATACCGAAGCTATTTACGGCTGCACATGGGACAGGCTTCAGGGGGAGCATCGGAGTGGGCACGCCATTTGCCATACAGATAACGCCTTTTCTTTACCGTAAGAAAGCCAAATCAGCATTTCGTCAATTCTTTGTTTAAAAATTTTTACAAGTCCCATTAACGCACCTTTATAGGTCAAAAGTGTAAATCTAGCATCAATTTTGACAAAATCCCGTATTGCAACAACGCAAAATGTAAAACCTATAATTACTTCTTTACTTAATTATTGTCAGTAAAAAGCTTTTGACAAAATTATGCACAACTCATTATAAGCGCCTGCTTCCCAAAGGCTAATGCAATCGAGTTGCCACTGCATGAGCATCATTTGATTTTGCCATTGTGGCCATAGCCCTTTCCCAACTAAGCCTTGAGAGGTGGACTTACCCTTCTCACTGTATCCCAATTCAAAGGCATACAACGCATTCAATTCTCTTGGAACGTACCTTAGTTTAGCTTGATAACTTGTGCGCTGCTATACCTGTCTGAAAGCCGATCCCTTTCTATTTGGGCATTTTGAAGCTCCTTTAGCATTCGCCCATACTATTCGAGGAGGACAAATTACCAGTGCTCCTTTCCGTGTTACTTTCACTCGTTCATGTATCCCTCCAGGCACATTACAGTTATCGTGAGCCCAGTTCCTGGGATCTTCGAAGTGGATATTTGAGGGTTTCCATGTTTCGACAATGTCCAGCACACCAACTTTCGCATGTTACACTAAAACAAGCTTGGTTTTTACCTCTTAAATTGCACAAAATCACTTCACTCATCATTTCACCACAATTTCAATTAGTTTTATTAGCTTTGCTTTCAACGTCACGATGCCACAAGGTACTCACTTTGATCTCATTGGTTCACTTGGCTCAGGTCAATGAGGCGAGGTGGCGTCGGTGGCCCCAATTTACAAACAACGCACCCCTTTCAATGTCCACACATTGACCATCGAATCACCAAAACTGATGACGGTGTGCGCGTGGGCGCACGTGAAAATATCTGTGCACAGCTCTGCAATTGGCTAAGTATTAGCCAATAAGGAAATCGCAAACTGACAAGCAATCGATGGCTAACATGCGGCGCGAAGGCGTTGCATTCGTCTCTCACTGTCGACTGTAAATATGTCCGACACAGTTCCTCTTTTGCCAGGGAGTTTTGATGCCGCTGTCTCACCGATTTTATCAGGCAATAACATTAGAGCTCGTACCACTGGTTCTATAACTTTACAAGGCTCTTCTGATGACATGGTTTTACAAAGGCATCGTCGTGAGGGATCAACAGGCGAGGAGCCTAGCCGTTGTTGTAAGAAGACAACACCTAACCAGAGGGAAGCCAAATATCCAATTGCCCTTGTAGCCTCTACATGGGGTTTACTCACCAATATCGAAAGGGCTATCATCATCCCAACTATGTGGTTATTCTTCATTAAGTACTGGGGTCTTGAAACTGCAGCTGAGTTTTACGGAAGCACCCTTGGAGTATTTAGCTTTTCAATTCTGATTGCTACTCCTTTGTTTGGCTATGCTGGTCACTACGGAGTCAGTGTTAAGTTCCTGCTTCTTGTGGCTAACCTTTTGGAGGTGCTTGGAAACCTTGCCTACCTTTGTGCCCATGGACCTTGGGCAGTTTTTGCTGGACGCTTGTTGGCTGGAATTGGAGCTAGTTGTGAGCCTCCAATGTACGCGGATCTCACACGTTCAACTGAAATTAATGAACGAACTCCCTTCATAATCGTTCTCCTATTATCACGTCAAGTTGGACTTATTTTTGGACCCGCATTCACTCTCATTTTGGAACGTTTAAATCTAAAGATTTTTGATATGGAAGTTAACGTATACAACGGTCCAGGTCTAGTTATGGCTTGTCTTTGGATTCTTCATTCCATTCTCATCGTAATTTTCTATCCTAACCTTGACAAATCAGGTGCCTTTGCAGATGACAATTTAAAGGCCGCTCAGATCACAAACACTAAGCCAAGCGAAGGTGCATCGACTAATAAGGCGGAAGTTCGATTCGCTGGATTCACTCATTATAGTTTTCTCACGCTCTACGCCACAACATTTGTTTCTTATTACTCTGTAATGGCATTGGAGTCGGTTCTCTCTCCGGTGGCCAATCGTGCTTTTGGTTGGGGCCCAGTGGAAGTGAGCTACATATACATCGCTGCAAGTGTTCTCGTCATATTCGTTTCCGGCATCATGCATTTCCTGTCCAAGTGCATCGAGGATCGCAAGCTCATTCTTATTGGTCTCTGTTTTCTCGTCACCTCCTATCTCTATCTAACAGTCGTTATCTTCACACTTGATTCTCTTGGTGAGTGGGGCAAATTTCTTGTTGTTACTGGTGTTGGAATCCATGTAATTGGAATGCCCTTTCCGTTGGCCATCTCTGAATCCCTCTACACCAAGTTTGTTCCCGCACCACGCCTGGACCATGCTCAAACCATCCTTCGCACTGTCATTAATGTGGCTTTCCTAGTTGGACCCTTTGTAGGTGGTAGTCTGCAGGCTCACCCAACCGTGGTCTTCTTATCCATGCTTCTCCTTAACCTCATTCCTCTGACAATGCTCCTTTCCAGATTCTCCGACTTCCGGGTGACTTTAGAAGCGCCATTAGACAGACCTCTTGCCTCCACCCGGTCCTCTGATTCTCACCTCACCGTTTAACTACTTCACATGTACATATTTACTTCAGCTACTGTCTTCTCCTCGCTCCTCCTCCACGTCTCGCCTGTAAATTCATGACCAACTTAACATTAACTTAGTGTCCATTGTCAATGTTTTGTACTCATTTTATCTGGAAGTGTTGCAGCATTGAGAAGTAATGCGATCATCCCTTTTTTTACCTGCATATTCCTTTCAAGCCGCGACTGGGGCTGTACACGCATTCTCGCATCGTTGATGCGTAAGTCGTTGTCATGGCTCTTCTCCATGAGTCATTGCCTATAGAGTGCAGTGGGGTCGCTAGATCGTGTGATCTTGATTATGCTTTGTCTGTTTTGTGGTCACAGGCGCAATCAATAACGTGGGTTCGATGGTGTACCGTATCTGGGCCGGATTTGACCAATGCATCAATCCAAAGTCGGAGAATGTCGTTTGGCGTCTACCATGCGTTGGCTTAACAAGGGTAACTCATTTGTGCACTGAATTGTTACTGGCGCCTGCGTTACCTCCATGAATTACACCACCGATTTACTTCATTTGAAATTCATTCATATGCCATAAAAGTAAACAATTGAGCTGTGAAGTTGTGCTACATTTATGCAGCGAAACCGATTAGATTCTTATTAGATAGGTGTTTAAGCAATCATACCTAATTTGCTATTTTCATCTGGGGTGAATTTCCTGATGTTACTTGATCGACATGCGACTTGGAGATATCCACAGGTGCCTATATAAGGAATGAAGGATTACAATTTTTAAGGAATTCATTGGGTAGAGTTAGTCACGTGATGCTAACTGAGAAGTCCCACTGGGTGGTGAGAGGGCTGTCAGCCGCACTTCCTAATTGAAGCTACAATTTAACCTCTCTGTTTTTGCAATAATTGTTGGATTTTTATCGGGCATGGGGGTTACGAGACTCTGTAATTGCTACTAACGTTGTATGTCATTCTTCAGGGATTTTGGCGTTTCATTTACACTTTTTTTTCATTTTGGAGTCCTAATTTTGCAGTTTTGGAATGCGCTCTGAGATCGCTGAATCCTCCCCGTAGCCCTATGGGTAAACATTTCGCCTTGACTCGAAATTTGCCAATGACGCAAGTTAGCTTGGCAACGACTTCGTAAACATGATTTAGGGCATACATGTGCAAAAGAAACATTTAATGATAGCTTACTCGGTCAACGGAAAGCAGGCGTTGTCATAGTGGTGATCTGGAAGCTGAAAGTGACATATTTTCAATGCTTCTGGATGTGACACATGCTTCGACCTCAGTGAAGCTCTTTAAGCCTTGCCGGGGCATGATATTCTGGCTATGCCACGACCTCAGGTTAAGCTGAGCTGTCTCGGTTTCCGTGTCCTCATCGAAGCAGCTGTTGACGGTGTCTGACTGAGGCTTAGCAGTGACCATAGATGTGATTCAGTCTGTGCAAAAAAATCACACCTTGATCTGGTGTGAGAAAGGATTGAAAAGTCATTACATCATTCTTAACGGATGTTTAGGTTAACAGGAATGATCTATAATGACTGTGAAAGGGGGTCTGCATACTTTCCTCTTTTAGATCGTTAAAATCACATTATCGTCGTAGTCTTTCTGGTGAATTGGGGTATTTAAATGAGGCTGAGAGAGTCAGTGTGTCCTCAGAACAAGTGTTATTGCAGTGGGGCATCAGAATTCCATTCAAAAGGCACTCCTGGCAAGTACACACAAATAGTTCGCTGTCATGACATGCGATTTTGTGTTCCTGGAAAGGAGTTTAATCTAATTCCCCAAGAAGCCAATCAACAGTCAGCATTTGCTGTGGGGATAGCCTAAAGTGCAAAGTTGGGCATTTAATCCAAGGGCTCATTGACTCTGATGATGGAAATTGGCGCAAATAGCCGATAGACTAGGCGTTTTGGTGCTACTTGATGCTAATCATATTTAGTGCAGCTTCAGGGTAATGTGAGGCTCACCATCTAAGTTGGCAAGTATGGGGTCGAAGTGTTACCTGTTTGTCTTGTTTGTCTGAGTGTTTGTTTACCTTATTTTGCATAAATAGTGGGGTACTTTACACTAAGTGAATAAACAATTCTGTTTTATTGTTGGAACAACTGTTTAAACGTGAATACTTGTAGTGTGACCATTTGGTGGCGCCTCTGGTCTGAAGACATTTAAACTGACAGGAATGAATGCTACTCTTTCTTTGTGGTCCCTACATCACAAGTTGGCAGCAACTTTGTTTCTGGAAGGCGCATTCGCATTTACTTCTACTCCCGACTTTCTAGTTTTGCTCGTTAATGAGTTCACTGACGGAGGTGGAAACGAGAAAGGAGTCCAAGACTAAGAAATCGGTCCCTCAAATCATGCTTCGGAACTGATTTAATTGACTTTTCAGGATGGGAAGGGGTACTTTTTAATTTACAAGCAATCACGGGGGTAGTGCATTCCGCTCTGTCACGCGCCTTAAATGAGAGAGACGCTGGAAGCACTTCCACTCTTAGCCACCTCATATGACAAGACTAATGCCAGAATACAAATTACCTTACTTATTTGTCAAGTAAAAGTTGAACTGTTGAACGCATTAATGCGAATTGTGGAGATAGAGGAGGGCCATTAGCATCGGGCATTGAACAATCAAGGAGATGTCCGAGTCACTGATGTACACAATTTAGGAGGAAGATGTGGTTTTGATACGTAACCATTCGCGATCTCTTGGTTGTTTCCCTTGTAAGCTGCTCACCCTATAGTTGGGGTTGCTTTGAAAAGTAGAGCCGATCGAGCCACCCAAGTACTGCGGACCTCAAACCGACGAGTTATCCGAACAAATTACTGATATTTTAAGAATAAAAGGTTGCATAAATCGACAGTTGCAGATTGTGTCAATACATTAAGCGTATAGCTTGGCAGCTTAAACATTTCCTCAAAGGGCTTTACTCCAGCCTTAATTTGTTCCTACTTTTCCATAGGTGGTGAAAGGACAAGTGTTGTCTGAAATCAGTTTTAATGCATTCAGTCACGAAAGCCGTGATAGGAACAAGAGAGTGCAGAAAGAGGTGTAGTGTGAGGGATATTACTGTAGTACTTTGCTTATTTCACTGGCCATGTGACTGGCAGTCATTTTGCCAGTTCTCCTGATGTTGCCTTCCACTACCGAACAGGAAGTCCCCAAATGCTACACCGATGGTAGCCGAAAGCGAACCCGATTTCCTTGCGACTTCACTAACGGTTTACACTTCTACGACGTAAAATGCATTGCGTCTACCATCAGTGCCAATTATTTTTTCGATCACCTCCACAACAAAAGGTCGGAGAACGATGC